GCACACTGTTCTTAATATGTTTGCTCACCTTCTTGGCACTATGTGTTTTAACCAAGGTCTCTGAGAAAGGGTGTTTCCCCAGGTAGGGATTTTCCCCTGAAGTTAGGGAGGGAATAAAACCTCTTAACTAAGTGCCAGGCGGGTAATTAATCACTTTAACTATGAACAATCATGCTTAAGCTACATAATCTTTACTCCCTGGAATGGAGATAAGAAACGCCCTAACCTTTGTAATAGAGATTGATAGGATTGAATCAACTGGTATAAATACAGATGTAATAAGACAGCAAGAGACAGAACTTAGAACTCAGAACTTAGAATACAGAACTTAGAACACAGAACTTAGAATACGGAACCAGGAGAGACGGAACCTAGGCACAGAACCTACACAGAACGTTCTCTAGAGACAGAAGAACTTCGCTGGAGAGAACATGGCAAAAGATCCTGGACTGAACCTGACTACAGAAATTGGCAAGAGAACCTGACTAGAACCTGGTGACAGAACCTGGCTGGAGAACCTAGCAAGAGAAGATGGACACAGAACCTGGCTGGAGATCCTAACCAGAACTTCGCTGGAGATCCAGACCAGAACTTGGCTGGAGATCCTGGCTGGAGATCCTGGCTAGGCTGCTGATCAACTGAACGCTGTCTCTGTGTCATTCCTTCTTCGCCGACTCCATCCACACCTTTGGGGACCCCTGGACCTGCTGGGGTTGGACCCCAGCAAGGTAATACCAAATAAAGTGAATACACAATAGCAAAAGAAAGCACCTTATTGTTTTAATGGTGCAAAAGAAAGAAATACAACATAAACTTATCCAGATTTAAAATAGTTGTGTTGTGAGTAAATGGCATTTAAAAACATTTTTCAATAGAAAAAATGATTTGTAAATCAGTTTATAGAAGATTTAAAAAATCAATATCTAATAAAAAATATGGAATATTTTATGAATTTGTGTGTCAATCTTGACGAAGGGGTCATGATAATATTTTTTTAAAGCATTTTTTAAATCCTCATCTGAGGATATGTTCATTGATTTTTAGAATGAGGGGAAAGGAGAGAGAGAGAGAGAAGAAACATCGATTGGTTGCCTCCCATGTGTGCCCCTACTGGGGATTGAACCCAAAACCTAGGTATGTACCCTGATTGGGAATTTAACCCACAAACTTTTGGTGTATGGGACAACGCTCCACCCACCTGGCCAGGCAAGTCCATGATAATCTTCTCCGTATTGTTCTAATTGTAGTATAAGTGCTGGTGACGCAAGCATGACGATTTCACTTTCTTTTTTTAAAAAAAAAAAAAATATTTTTTTTTATTGATTTTTTACAGAGAGGAAGGGAGAGGGATAGAGAGCTAGAAACATCGATGAGAGAGAATCATCGATCAGCTGCCTCCTGCACACTCCCCACTGGGGATGTGCCCGCAACCAAGGTACATGCCCTTGACCGTAATCGAGCCTGGGACCCTTGAGTCCGCAGGCCGACGCTCTATCCACTGAGTCAAACCGGTCAGGCCGATTTCACTTTCTGATGTGTCATTTTATTCAAATCCCCTACATCTTTTATGTCAACAGGAAAGTATTAAATATGTTTATAAAAAAATTTATCAGATATTGAGCGTTTGGACACTTGACATGTATTACATCATTCAATCCTGGAATGAGTCACATGAAGTAGGTTCTGTGATTTATTGCCATTTTTCTTTTTCTTTTTTATTTTATTTTTAAAAATTCTTTATTGTTTAAAGTATTACATATGTCTCCTTTTTCCCCTATTGACCTCTCCCTGGCCACCCCCACCCCCCAGCAAATGCCCACCTAGTGTCTGTGTCCATTGGTTATGCTTATATGCCTGTATCCAAGTCCTTTGATTGATCTCTTACCCGCCCCCCCCCCCCCCCCATCTTCCCTCTGAAGTTTGATGGTCTGTTCGATGCTTCTCTGTCTCTGGATTTATTTCTGTTCATTAGTTTATGTTGTTCATGATACTCCACAAATGAGTGAGATCATGTGATATTTATCTTTCTCCGACTGGCTTATTTCACTTAGCATAATGCTCTCCAGTTCCATCCATGCTGTTGCAAATAGTAAGAGTTCTTTCCTTTTTTATAGCAGCGTAGTATTCCATTGTGTAGATGTACCACAGTTTTCTAATCCACTCATCTGCTGATGGGCACTTAGGCTGTTTCCAATTCTTAGCTATGGTGAATTGTGCTGCTATGAACATAGGGGTGCATATGTCCTTTTATTGCCATTTTTCGGATGAGGAAACATTCAAGTTGCTAAGTAAACTTGCCCAAGATTACACAGTTGGCAAGTGGGGGACTCAGGACACTTTTAACCATATGTAGCACTTCCTTGAAAAATTAATGAAAAATTTAACATTCTCCAAAATGGTTCAAATTACCTGTCTCCTTTTGAGAAGTGCACACTAAGCCCCTCATAAAGTGATTGAGTGTTGACCTATGAACCAGGAGGTCACGGTTTGATTCCTGGTCAGAGCACATGCCTGGCTCGTAGGGCAGTGATGGAGAACCTTTTGAGCTCGGCGTGTCAGCATTTTGAAAAACCCTAATTTAACTCTGGTGCCGTGTCACATATAGAAATTTTTTGATATTTGCAACCATAGTAAAACAAAGACAATTTTGATATTTATTTTCTATATTTAAATGCCATTTAACAAAAAAAAAATCAACCAAAAAAATGAGTTCACATGTCACCTCTGACACGGGTGTCATAGGTTCGCCATCACTGTCCTAGGGGCATGCAGGAGGCAGCCAATCAATGATTCTCTCTCATCATTGATGTTTCTATCTCTCTCCTTCTCCCTTCCTCTCCGAAATAAAATTATATCTATATGTATATATATATGTATATATATATATATTTAAAAAGCAAGGCTATCCTACTTATAAAAATCCTGTTTTCAAGTCACTATTTTCTCAATTCAATCATTATAAAATGTAACAAATGATTAAGTTCTGGATTAAAATTTCTCAAAGTGAAGACATCTCTGGTCTGCCATTTTCAAGTGTGCCAGGTAGTGACAAATCATGATGGTTTCTGCCTCTGGGCCTTAACACAATAAGTGATTATACAGGCTTAGGGTATATATTTTTGCTTTAATATGCAATATAAATGTATTCCCCCTCTCCTATTAAATCGTTAGCCTTGTTCAGAGCAGGCTACATTTTCTGCTTCCTTTATCAAGGCTGCACATATTAAAATACACTGTTGTCTTCCACTATGAATTGCTGTGATTTTGATATCTCAAAGAGGCTGGTGGGAGTTCTGACTGATACTTCAACCTCATACTTCTTGCGTCAGAATACAGTGCTTGCATTTTAATGTTTTCAAGGCACATCCCAGGCAAAGTACTAACTTTTGAACTAACCCCTTGAAAATTTAATAAGAAAAGGATTTTTTTTTTCCAAACTTGAATTTTAGGAAAGAGGATAACTTTTCAAACTGCAAGGTGCTGTACAAAGCAATCCATAGAAGTTGACTCTGCTATTAACTAGGTTTCAGAATGAAGGGGTTAAAATGGCCAAGTCTTACAAACATACTGAATTCAGCCCTGTTCTGTTTATTTGTAACTCCAATAGTGTATGAGTTGAATTCTGAAGGTTTTGGAACTTAAAAAAAAAAAAAGAGTTTTAGTTTTATTCATTGCCTGGAGAGGAGCTCTGAGAAAGGAAGTGAGAGGGCACAGCTTTGAAGAACTGGCAATTTGGCCTCTCCTCTTCCCCCTTTCCTCCCCTCCCCCACGATCTTAGCTATTTGACCTGATTCAACAACTTTGGGATGGTAGCCAGATTTCTGTATGCTGACGAGGCCTCTAATTCGGGATTTAGTGCGATTTCACCCACCTCGAGCTTCCCGACTGCCCCGCGGAAGACCGGCTTCACAGCAATCTCCCAATTTTGTCCGGGGTTCGCCAGCGAGGAGTTCACACAGACTCTGCACACCTCCAGGCACATCAGATTACTCATTAGCGAACCCTTTTCACCTTCTATCTAATAGTGAAAGGAGACGTCAGAATCGCGAGTGCTGCTCGCCCAAAGAGGTTCTGCCCGCCCCCAGGCTAGGTAGCAGAAGACGTTTCCAAAAGCGTCCTTAAACCTCCCCTGCACCTAAGCCAGGTCTGAGAGCCAGGTCCCACTCGCCTCCCCAGGCGCCCGGAATCTGATCACTGCAGCAGTTCCTGGTGTGTGTGTGTGTGTGTGTGTGTGTGTGTGTGTGTGTGTAGAACAGAAGAGGTGGTGGTGGGGAGCCGCGCGGGGTGACCACCGCTCATTACATAACCACAGCCCGGCTGCCAGAGGGAGCCTCCGGGCCTGACATTGAGACTTTCCAGGAGGGAGGGGAGTTGCTGTCCTGGAATCGCCAGGAACAGCGGCGGCAGTTCCAAGAAACCGAGAGAGGAAGGTGCCTGAGATAAAGAAAGCACTTCGGGAATGAGAATGTCAAAAAGCCGCGGGACCCAGAGCAGTAGCAAACGGCTGGGCACGTGGAGTAATTTGTCAGATGAAGCGGCAACCTTCCAACTTTTGCACGGGGAACAAGGGATTTGCCCATTGGGGGATTAAAAACGTAATAGAAAAGCCAAAAACTAATGAATGGAGTTCAATGGTTTGTTGAAAATACATAAATATTTCTGTCCGGAAGCGCGAACTCTATGCAGTTGCCTAGAAAGTAGAAACTCAAACCAAACTAGAATACTCTCCCGTGCGTCTCCACTTTCCTCAATCCGAAAGAGCAGCTCGCGCGGTACTGCCCCTTTAAGACCTGCTCGCTCTCGGGCTCTACAAAAGGGAGTGACCTCTGGGCTTTGACAGCTCCCCTAATAACTACCACCGTTCAGGCTCCGCCCACCTGGCGACCAGTGGCGCCGATTGGCCAGCGGGCCGGTATCCCGTGCTCTGATTGGCTCCTCGCTTCCCCTGAGCGAACCTTTAGAACTCTGAGACAGACAATATTCTGTTACATTGTAGCAAAATGGCGACTGTCATTCACAACCCCCTGAAAGCGTAAGTAAGACTAAAAAATGTACATATTCCGCGTGGTTTCAATATGAAAAAAAAGGCGCCTTCTGCGAGCGGAGCGCTGCCAATGCACTGCGCTCGCCGGCGCCTGCAGCCGCTGCGGGGTTTCCCTCTTTTCTTTCAGCTCTTACTTCTTCATCTTTTTTCCCCCAACACGCAGAAATGTCAGGAGATGCAATTAACAAGAAGAAAATTGTTACATTTGTGTTCTGCTTAATTGGCGCAGGGAGAGAGCGAAGGGATACCGGCGGGGAGCCCGGCGCTCGAGCGCTCTGCAGCTAGGGGGTCGCGGGCAGCTCCGGGACAACACGGTCCCCCGAGTGCCCGGCCTCGCGGGGCGGCGAGCGCGGCGCGGGGGGCGGCCTCGCGGGGGACGGGCGCGGGGCAGGGGACGCCCGGGTGCACTTGGCTGAGCTCCGCACCTCCGGAGCCCGGGTCCCCGCCCGGCGACTCAGTCCGCCCGGGCGAGCGGACCGCGGCTGCTCGGAGTTTGCAGGGAGCTCTCCGCCTTCCGATCGCTGGCGGAGAGTTTGTGTAAACCTCCCGGAGTTGGGAGGACCACAGGGGGGCAGCGGGTCCCGGGAGCCCTGGGGCCCAGGTGGTTGCTCGGAGCTTTCCTGCCGGGGCAGCCCCCGGAGCGTGACGGCGCTCCGGGCGGTCGCCGGCATGTCTCTGTGTGTGTGTGTTTGTGGGTGAACGGGCTGTAGTAAATTAACCACTCGGCTTAACTTGGCGTGGATTTGGAAGCCAGAGAAGCTGCAGGTCTCAAGAATGGTTGCTCTCGCTCTCGCTTCCTCCGGGTGAAAAGCCGAGGCGGGCGGAGAGGCAGCGTTTGCTCTCGGCCGGAGCGAGGGGCAGGTGCCTCTGGCCGCCGGGAGACTTTGAGCGGACGCCCAGATCCGGGACGGAGGGGGCGGGCTGCACGAGGACACGCGGGGGCCAGTCCCCGCGCCCGACAGCCAATTCCTGCCTGCCTTCCTCCGCCTTTTCATCCTGGCTTCCTTCCTTCCTTCCAGTCGGTGGAACTGCTAAGCCGCCAAGTCCGCTCGCGATCGCGGAGCCGGAGGTGGCTTCGGGAAACGAGCGTCGCTCTAAAAGGGGTGCTGTTGGCAGTGATGTTGGCAGAAGGGAGCTCCCGCCGGATCACCGCGCGACGTGGGTGGGGGTCCGCGCGGGGGAGAATCGGGGCTTCCCAGCTGTCCTGGAAGCGGCGGTCGAGGGGAGGGGGAAGTGCGGGTGTGTGTGTGTGTGTGTGTGTGTGTGTGTGTGTGGTGGGGGGAGAGGTTCGTGCCGAATCCTCGTGGGTGCGTGGCGGACACCCACCCAGATACTTTCAGCTCCGCGCAACGGCGTCCGCACCCCTAGATTCTCTTGGAGTGAAATCCAGGTTCGCACCCGGGGGTGGGGTCGGGGGCGGCGGCGGCAGTGGGATTCCTATTGCGAAGGAACGCTCGGGGAGAATGAAACGCGTTTGTACCAGCTCATCTCCCAGCTGCAATAGGGAAAAGGGGTAAGAATGTCCCAGGTCTTGGAGTTTTACACATATTCGTACACATGTTAAAGCTGCTGTTAAGAGGTCTTTTGAACCTGAGGCTGATCAGAGAGCAGCGGCTCCCGGCATCCGTCCTGGCTGTGGAGCGCTGATACACTGCACTTGAACGCCACAGCCTCGCTACCCAAGAAAGAAAATGTTTTATGGCAGAACAAATGGGCGTAACTTCGCCGCATCCTCTCTCTCTCCCCGCGGCTCGCGCTGGCCACGCCGCTGATGCTGTGAGTTTTTACCGAGCCTTTGGCTGATTTGCAGTTTAGCCGAAATCACGTACTCAGGTCGATGCCTCCGGGTCAATTCAAGCTAGAGGAATCTCACAGGGGCGCCGGGTTTGTCGCCTTTCGGGGAAGCGGTACCCTGGTTACCCTGGCGCCGGTGTACGCGCGGGCGGGCGCAAAGTCTGTACGCTCCAGGGTTGCGCCGCTCGCTTCAGGTTTTTGTTTACGTTTTTTCCTTTTGGACCGCAGAAGGTTACGTGTTCCGGGGAGGGTGTCTGTGTAGGGTTAGAGGTGGGGGGAGGGATAGAAAAGCGGTCTGGTTAGTGGAATTAGTTATGAATTTTTATACTCGAACTTTATAATTAGAAACAGTTGCAATGGGATGCATTTGTAGTTCCGAGTCGCCGTACACGCCTACACTAGCATACACGCACCACTCCTGCCGGCTTCTTCTAGGTGGGAGTTGAGTGGTCCTTTGTAATTAGCTGCTCCTTTTTGTACCCCAGCCCCTTTCCCTGGGGGTGAGAGGGTGTAAACAATACCCCCGGCCAGCCGAGCCTCCTGCCGGAGCTTTTAACCTCCTAAGGCGGGAGCAGGCACGTTGTTTTTGGGAGACGTACACCATCTGCCTTTATTTTTTTGAACAACTTGTTTAATAAAACGCCTTATTTTTCATTTGTTTTTAAAAGTTGCTGATCGGGAGACAATACACACGTGAATAAATTATGCATGGACTAAATTAGAACAAAGCGCAGAGGCTCATCAAGCCAAAAGGCTGCATGGATGATGGTGCTGGGAGGAGGGGGGTGGGGGTGGGAGGAGGATGGTTTGGAGACCTGTTTTCTTCCTCATGTGTCCCTCCTGACAATGAAACGTAGCTGAATGACATTAGCATTTTCTCTGTGTGCTTTTGAGCCTCTCTCCCCTAAGGAAAAAAAAAAAAAAAAAAAAAGCCAGACACCACTGCCGCCCCCTACAGAAACTGGTCAGGTCACACAAAGGTTTCTTCTAGGATTGGGGGGGTAAAGTGGTGGTAGATAAAGTTCTGGGAATAAATGAGATCAGGTTTCATGCCACACCTCGGTAGGGCTCTATCTGCCCTGAGTATTGGACATTTTTCCTTTATACTTGCGTTCTCCATGTGGGACAGTCAGTAATTCAGTAGCTCAGGTAGCTGGATGGCACAATCTGAATCTCATTGCTTTGGGGTCTTCCTTAGGAGCCCCAGCCCCTGGAGCCACATCTCCTCTCCGCAGTTTGGCTTTCTTCCTGCCTGCCTTTGATCACCCCTCAACCCTCTTTCTTATTCCTCCTCCTCCTACTCTTCACCCCCCTTCTCTCTGAAGCTGACAGCCTGGCTTCTCTTTCTGTTGTTGCCGTTAACATCTTATTACTGCCCAACAGGGTGTTAGAGGCAGAAACAGGAGCTGCCTGGACTGATCAGATCACAAAGGGGACTCGGCAGGTGGCCACATAACCAGGCAGTCACATCTGGACAAATAGAATTTAAAAGCATAGATGGACATGCATAAAGTGTAAATGGGTATTACACGTTATTTAATTTAGCAGCTACATTGTCTGAGCCAGATGTGTGAGTCACCCCCATTTATTTCACCTACAAGCAAGATAAGGCCCATGCAGTGAAGTAATTACACATGTAGGTAACATAAATATGAATTGGATAAAGGTCTGTGTGTAAATCAGTCACATTACATATTGTGTTCTGGTTGATATCTGCATGCCTAGGAAACATAATATTTTTAAATATAAATTCTAATCTTACTTGCTGTTCTAGTTCAGGTAAACTACCCTTCCCAAATCTGCTATCAACACGAAACAACTTACTTTTATTAAGTTATCATGACTCTGGATTGTATGCACTTAACTGGGAATGTCTGCCACCTTCTGCCAGACTTGATTATGCACATATGAATCTATTATTATAACTGCCTGCTTAGAAAAGAATAACTGTTATTATTATTTAATTATTCCTTGTAAACCAACAGGGCTTTACCTCAAGTAACTATTTGTTTATAGAGAATGAGAGCAGTAAACTAATTTCTCATGCTTAAAATTGTGATCATACAAAATTGTACTAAAACTTTATTTTTGCTAGGATTTTCACTTGCTTAGAGTTATTTATTTTTATCTCTGTTTATTTATTAAGGACACAGCTCTGGGAGAATTAGATATACTTACATAGCTAAGGTCAGACAGCAGGTCATGTGTATAGATGGACCTCAAATCTTCATCTCTATACATTCTATGATCTGGATACAGTGCATTCTAATCTGAAGTGGTTTTGTGCCTGGGAAAGTTGTGTCATTGTCAGCCACTTAGAAGCCAGACTTTGCTCTTGCTGTGGCAGGTTAGATACCAGAGACAGGGGTTAGGGGGGGACGCATTCCTGGTTCTAATCTCCTCTTAGCTCTTTCTGAATGAGAGGAAGAGGGAACATTGAGGTTGGGACTTTGTGAGTTTGCAGCCTTTTATGGACATTTTAGCCCCTTATGAAAAAGGACCCTCAGACATTTTAAACCAACAGATGCCTAAGAACCACCTTCTCCATCTGCTTCTGGTTGCCACTGGAGGGGGGAAAAGCGCCCTGAATTCTCCAAGCTTCATTAGCGCACATTATTTTTCAGTGGGAAGAATGTCTGGTTTGGATGAGATACCCATAAAGGAGACTAATTTCTGCCAGAACCCAAGTGGAGGCATTGTCTCAGGGTAAACCTCTGAAAGTAGCCCAGCCTGCAGACCACCTGGGAGCCACCCAGAGATCACAGCGGAATGCAGCTGCCCAGATCCATAAGGTGGGCTGAAATTCAGGGGCAACTTCATTGGAGACTTACTTATCTTCCTGTCTTTTTGGAATTATGCAGATATCTGGAATTTGGAATACATCTGAGAAAGACCATAATATCTAAAACTGTTTCAGAGCCATCTGCTCAGACAATGCAATAAAGAAAGATGTCGCAGGCAGCATGCTTTGTTTTGAGCTGGCACCAGAAAAAGAAAGGAAACTGAGTCTGATGTTTCCGTTTTCAGTGCAGCCACACTGACTGTAGTGGTGGTGGGGGCTGGGCCATATAAAGGCAGCAGAGTCCAGGCCTGTTTTTTATCCCAGCCTCTTGGGAAGTACCTTGTAGTTTTTTTCTGAGTGTACTGAAAGTCACTAGGAGACAGAAATGTACCTACTGTGGCAAGCCCCTGGC